GCTCCTGAAGGTGAAGATAGTGGATTGAATTCATTAGCACCTGGACAAGATTCTAATTCAACTCCTTCTACTCCATCAGTGTCACAACCTCTCTCGGTAAGTCACTCTATGCCTAGCTTTGCATCTAGAGAGAATGAACTTGATGTGAACTCTTTGAAAGCTTATCCGGGGTTAAGAGAACAAGTAGCACTATTTCATCCTAATATTCAAGATATGATTAGAAGACATTATCTTCAAAAAGGTGTTTGTCAACCTGATCATGCTTTTCCATCTAGAGATATTGGGGGAAGCTTGCGAAGCTTTAAGTCTTCTTGGTACAAAAAAAATATCATTGGTTGGAATATAGTATTGCAAAGGATGTTGCATATTGTTTGCATTGTTATTTGTTTAGGAGCGATGATGGTAAGAAGGGTGGAGGTGCTTCTTTCATTTCTAAGGGCTTTAGAGCTTGGAATAGATGAGATGAGAGTCTTGAGAAGCATGTTGGACATGTCAATAGTGAACACAACAAAGCTGTGAGAAAATGTGAGGATTTGTTGAAGCAGTCTCAAAGCATTGGAGTTTCTTTATTTAAACAATCAGATCAAGCAAAGATGAATTATAAAATTTGTTTGCAAGCTTCAATTGACTGCATCAGACATTGTGTATGCAAGGGCAAGCACTTCGTGGACATGATGAATCAGAGTGTTCAAAGAATAGAGGAAATTTTATTGAACTTCTGAAATTTCATGCTCGTGGTAGAGAAGATGTGGAATGTGTTGTGTTGAGAAATGCTCCCAAGAACCTTCAAATGACTTCTCCAAACATACAAAAGGATATTGTACATGCAATTGCAACTGAAGTAACAAAGCAAATCATATGCGACATTGGTGATGATGTTTTTTCTATTTTGGTGGATTAAGCTCGTGATACATCAATCAAAGAGCAAATGGCTATTGTGTTGCGATATGTAAATGAAGAAGGATATGTGATGGAGAGGTTTCTTGGGATTGCTCATGTTGCAGATACAAAAGCATTGACTCTTAAGATGGAAATTGAATCAATGCTTGTGACAAATGGGTTGAGCTTGTCAAAAATAAGAGGACAAAGTTATGATGGGGCAAGCAATATGAGTGGGGAAATCAATGGACTCAAGACTTTGATTTTGGCAGAAAATTCATAAGCATATTATGTTCATTGTTTTGCTCATCAACTTCAATTAATATTGTTGCAGTTGCTAGACGTCATAGTGACATTGGTGGTTTCTTTAAGGTTGTGAGTGACTTGATTAATTTGGTTGGAGGATCGTGTAAACGAATGGAAAAAATTCGAGAATGTCAAGCTGCTAAAGTTGTTGAGGCTTTATATCATGGTGAACTTGAGACTGGGCGAGGGTTGAATCAAGAAGTTGGCCTCAAAAGACCTTGTGATACTCGTTGGGGATCACACTTTGACACCCTCCTTAACGTGACTAGGATATATTCTTCTGTTATTGAGTGTTTGGATATCATCAAATGGGAGGGAAATTCTGATGCAAAAGCTGATGCATCTTGCTTGTTGAGGTTAGTCCAAAACTTTGATTTTGTATTCATCATGAAAATGATGATTGAAGTGCTTGCCATTACCAGTGGTTTGTCTTCAACTTCGCAAAGGAAAGACCAGGACATAGTGAATGTTATGCACCTTGTTCGTGGGTCAAAGTTTAGATTACAGGAAATGAGGGATAAAGGATGGGATTCTCTTCTTGATAGTGTGATTTCATTTTGCAACAAGGAATCTCTTCCCATTGTCAACATGAATTATTTATACTTTCCACTTGGAAAACCAAGGAGAAATGCTCAGCAAATCACCAATCTTCATCACTACAAGGTTGAGTTATTTAATACAACTGTGGATATGCAGTTACAAGAGCTAAATAGTCGCTTTGATGAGATAAACACAGATTTGCTATGTTTGTGGCATGCTTAAATCCAGACAATTTGTTTATCGACTTTGACAAGGAGAAGTTGGTGGAGCTTGCTACTTTTTATCCTACTAAGTTCTCCAAAGATGATATTTTACATCTTGGTCTTCATCAACTTGATGCTTGTATATATGATATGAAGACAGTTGAGAGGTTTGCAGGATTAAAGGGACTTGTTGAGGTTTCTAGAGAAACAAAGAAACATCGGGTGTTTCCATTAGTATATCGACTTCTGAAATTGGCATTGTTACTTCCTGTTGCCACGACAAGTGTTGAAAGAGCATGTTCTGCAATGAACTATGTGAAGAACACACTTCGCAATAGGATGAGTGATGACGTCATGAATGATTTTTTGGTTGGTTACATTGAGAGTGATATCCTTGATAGTTTGGATGATGAATGTATTTTAGGTACTTTTCAGACTATGAAAACACGTCGTGGGTCATTGTAAAAGATTAATATAAGTTATGTTTTTTTTTGCACCACCTTGGCATAATTCCTGGCTACGCCACTGCCGGCATCCAACTGGTAGCGAGAGACGCCGTCCTCCCAACCACTCATCCTCCGCTGTCGTCTCGGCCGCTCATCCTCCTCCATCGTCCCGCTCCGCCATCGATCTGTGCCGCCTTAAATCACCTGCAATTTTCGGAAACATCCGTGAGATATTACTCGTCCCACATTTCCACCCCTCATGTTTATTCTGAAACTTTATGGAACCCTGGATCTTGATTTCTCTGATAAATCGAATTCAATGAAAGTATGAAACTAAGCTTTTTAGGATGAAATATATAAGTGATGCAGCACTTATATCTTGCAGCTGGACATAGATTCCCCATTTCCCATATGCATATCTTGCTCCAGCCGGCGGAAGCATCCGCGAGATTCACCGAGGGAGACGGAAGGTTTTCTGTCGTGTGAGGGGATTGAAGTTTTTTTTCATTTTTAATTGATTTTTCGATAAAAATTTGTTAAAATAAAAATTAACGTCAAATTAAGGGAAATTTCGTCATTTTAACGGCCATTTAACAGCTATGTAACTGAAAATTACACGGAAGGGCATATTCTTTACGTTTTAATATTAGAAGGGTACATTTGTGCAAAAAATTAGTACAGAGGTATGTTTGTTACTTTGCAATAGTAGAGGGGTACAAAATGTTATTAACCCTTTTTTTTATCTCCTAGCATTAGTTGTATATGCATTTGATTTAAGAATCCTCAAAATAAACTTTAAACATTCCCTATATTATTACCACATAATTGCAAGTTATTTAAGACGGATTACTTCAGATACGATACTTCAAATATCATAATATGCATGTTAAACAAATTTCCCTATCGACTATCAAGCGTATTTGTTTTATGATTATGTTCATCCTGTACTCGTTAAGAAGCCTTATTTACCATGGACACATGTATCTCAACCTTCGATAAAAAGAACTCGACTTGTCATGGCTGTTTGCAATGTAACTAGTTATGTTGATAGGATGAACAACATCATCAAGATTTTCCCTATCAAACGACTATGGATAGCTAAATATGAAATATAATAGTAGAATTGTAAGATATCTCAAAGGAGTTGAAGCCGATGAGTTTCTTATTTTCCACTTTATATCTCAATGATGCACCTAGTAGGTATTTTCATTTAAAATAAAAATCACTTCGAGTTGTGAACATGCTTAGTCAAATTTGATGTTGATGAATATGCTATCCAATTACAGTTCCTTTTGCATTTTCTTTTTGTATTTTGAATATATGCTAATCAAACTTAAAGGTTCATATTTAGTAACATAACTTTCATAATCTATCTTCGCCTTTATTTGACTGAATCCCTTCACAAATGCTTGACTAAGCACCTATTGACTACAACAAACAAATGCGACTTAATAGGGGATTATTATATCAATAGTTTTTTTTATAATGATTATTATATCAATAAATATGTGTCTTGCCTGTCAGTCATTGGACTAAAAAAAGCATATAAGAGATAACCTCAGTAAATTGTTATTTTCAAGGTTGTAAGTGGAAAATCAACAAAATGAAGACTCAATCAATCAATGCCCTCTTGTTCTTCCTGATTCTCTTCCTTGTTTCTGGTGAATTTCCAACTTCATCACTCTCTAGCTCTTTCATATTTTCACTTTCAGTAATCAATCTATAACCATCAATTCAAGCCCTTGTAAGCTTAATTTGGAACAAACATATACTTGATTCTACTCTGTTTTGTTGTGTGAAGGAAATTGTTGGGGAAGGCAGTTGAGTGCAGACAAAGACAATGTAAGGGTACTCAGGTTTTGTCGCCAAGCAATATTGGAATTGGATAGCCCAATAGAATGCTCGCTTAAGCATTGTCAAAGGCAATGTTCACTAGACGATTATAGATCCCATGTTTTTGGCAGATGCAATTATTCCACCATGAAATGTGACTGTTACGGATATTGTGGGCCACAATAAAAGACGAGAGTGTTTAGGTTTCTCTTTTTGCATAATTATGCCTCACATTTCGTCCGATGTTGAATGGTTTCGTTTCATAAATTGTATCAATAAATTCTCTCTTTTTCCAGTTAATTAGTGGATTTTTTTTATTAGCGAATGATGTAGCTGGATTTTTTACTTCCAGGTTTCTCTATTTAAGGTGATGGTAAGGAATCTTTGCTGCTAAAATTCTATGATAATAGTGAAGCTAGCTTGGCACTTAATTAAAGACCAGACAATAAAGTGAACTAGAATTTACATGAATAATCACTTAAATGTGCAGTGAAATGAAATGGGCTAAATTACACTTTTGGTCACTCAAATCATACAAATCTTTCACGTTTGCCACCCGAATTACTTTTATTTCTTATTCGCCACTAACTTTACGAATCGTTCACGGTTGGTCACCGGCCGTTACACTCCGTTAAGTTTGTCCTACGTAGCAGTCAACTATAAAGTTTGATCGTTAACTAGATGACGTGGAAATTAAAAAAAATAAAATATTCTTTCCACCTCATCATTGCACTTATTTTGTCTCTATAATTTATCATATTAATAATTTAATAAAATTTAATAAATTACAAAAATGGACCGACTCCGATCCACCAAAGGCTTCCCCATCTCCGGCGACGTCGGATTAGACGACTTCCTTCTCACCAAACCCACCGCCGACGAAGACGCTTCCGATTCCCCTACATCCGATGATGCTGCCGCCTCCAATTCCCTCGTCAATTCCAACTCCGTCGCGGAGCAAGCCCCCGAGATTTTAGGCCGAAATGGTGAAGGGGACTGGTTCGGCGTGATGACCAATGTCCTCTCCGATCTCTTCTACATGGGCGGACCAAGAAGAAGAGGAAGAAGGGGAGTGGTGGGCTGAATTCGGAGTATGATAATGGAAATGTATTCGGTGGATCCAAGAAGAAAGCTAAGGTCTTGAATTTCCACTCCACTGTGGTTGCCAATGGTGGAAACTGTATGTCGACTTCTGATGATGTAAGTTTCTTGATGCATTATCTTGTTTATGGCTATATGAATCTCTGCTCGCTTGTGTCCAGTTTTGCACTTCTGTAGCAAGATGGTTTCGTGCTAACATTAATGCTTCTTTCTACCTGTCCTTGCTGGCTTTGGAACCGGTAGTGATTGCTGTAGTAAATAATGATCAACTTATTTTTCTTCTTTGGGAAGAAAATGAACTGTCTTGTTTAATAAGCTAGAGATTGTGAATCGCTTTACTGCGAGTAATGTATGTTATGCTTTCGATCTCTCTGGTTATATGAAATATGCTATCTTTCCTAATTCCCTTGGTTCTGAAGTTCAAAGCTCAAAGGTGTAGTTATTTGTTGTTATCCTACAGTGAATGCAAGTTTTCGCTGCAACCTGCCATTGTAGAATCAAATCCGCATTTCACGTTTTTCGTCGAGGAAATTCCGACGAGCTACCTGCGGAGGCTCTGCCGATCCTTCCTCCCGCCGTGGCTAAATCCTCGCTGCGACCAACCAACCGTCGCACCAATTGATACGATCTGAATCTCACTTCGACCCTTCCCCAATGTTTAGGGTGCTGCTGAATCAGATTCCCAGTATCCGAAAAGGAATCTCCCAGCTGGTAGATTGCATCGAATCTGCATCTCTTTAGACCCTATTACTATCGAATCCGCATCTCTCTTCCAAGCCGGCCGCGGCGGCGGCAGGGACGTTGTTATCGAGTCGACGGAGGAGGAGAGGGAGAGCTCCGGGAGCCACTTGGAGGCGTAGTGAGTGACGATGGAGCCGATGAGGTCGGGGCGGACGCCTTTGGACTTGATGTCGTAGATAGTCTGGTGATTTATTAAATTTTATTAAATTATTAATATGATAAATTATATAGACAAAATACGTGCAATGATGAGGTGGAAAGAAAATTTAATTTTTTAAATTTTTTTTAATTTCCACGTCATCTAGTTAACGGTCAAACTTTATAGTTGACTGCCACGTAGGACAAATATAACGGAGTGTAACAGCCAGTGACCAACCGTGAAACGATTCGTAAATTTAGTGACGAATAAGAAAGAAAAGTAATTCGGGTGGCAAACGTGAAAAATTTGTATGATTTGAGTAACTAAACGTGTAATTTAGCCGAAATGAAATATTATAAACCACGTAGTCGCATTTTTTATCGTGTCAATAGGAATTTAGTCAATTGATATCGTCAGTTCCTAGGTTGTCAACCACTGCCTCCGAATACTCGTGTTCGCTACAAAGATGACTCTCCTATTCCACCCTCTCAAAACGCAACCAAGTACCCCTAGCCAGAAATCCCTAACAAAGGAAGAAACAATCATAAGAACTACATTGAAGAAACTGTTAAAATGCAGGAAAAACAAAAAACATATACGGAAAGGCATTCAACCTTGTCCGTCGTAGCTATAGGTGTCAATCGGGATGCGGGTTAGTCGGGTTGCGGGTTTATCGGGTTGCGGGTTCACCGGGTTCGGATTCAATCGGGTTGCGGGCAAGGCGGGTTGCGGTTTTATCGGGTTGCGGGTCGAGCGGGTTGTGGGCGGATCGGGTTGCGGGTTGTTCGGGTCAGCGCATCTAGTAACTTACTCCTTACTAAGTACCAACTTATACATTTTATTACACTAATTTAAAATATTTTCTCTATTTTTAACCAATTTCTTTCTACCCCGTATACATATTTAATGAAAAAAACTAGTCAAAATGTTGAATTAATTTGTATGACTTGCAAAGTTGTTATGTAATTAATCGTAATTGGTAAAGTACACTAACTAATAGTAATGGTGATATCAATATTTGCAACCAAAAGACACAATTAATTGTTTATTTGGTATTTTAGTATAACTTCAGTAGTAATTGGATTAAATTATCTCATTTAGTAGAACCATGCAAATCTGGTAATTGGCAATGGCATGTGGTATTTTTCAAAACATAGATAACAAAGTGTTAATAAAAAACTTAGAACCGTCAAAACCATCAATACCTTATACCCTCACTAATCATTACCAAAAGCCTATACCTTAAACCATGAATCCTGACTCTATACCCTAAACCCTAACCCTATACCCTAACCCCTTGATATTGAACCCTCAAGCCATAACAAAAGCGATTGGTTTATTATGATAAGATGACTCGTGAGAGGTTCTCAATATATTATTGTCAATTAGTCAATGCCCTATAAGAGCAAGACTATTACATGGTTTACTATAGACAATTTCGTGGTAACTAAATGTTGAACTCTTAATTCATACTCGGTAAAGAGTGTGATAATCGAATTAGTAAATAAGTATATGATGTATAATATAAAATAGTTTGCATTTGAGATAATTGCGTGATGTTATTGACATAAGATAGAGATAATTGAGCGATGTTATTGACATAAGATAACTCATAATAAGAATTCGCGTCGAAAATTTAAGTCGGTTAAGTAACGGACACAATTTTCTGGCAGTTAGTGTCAGTTACTTTTTGTGTCGGTTTTAATCAACACAAAATTTGGAATAGTGTCGGTGACAACAGACAAAAAAAATAAAGTTTTTGGACAATTAATTTTCACTAATCTTTGTAGTTTATAAATGACAAGACATTAAAATTAAATTTTATTTTCTGGTAATTGACTCTCCAAAATTTCACAAGCCCCGCGGAAAATATGTCGGAAATGGCTTTTGAAGTCTCATAAAATCTTGATAAAAATCTTTAAAATCTATGAATTATACGGTTATGTACAATTTCAAGGTTTATTGCAATTGAAACAAAATTAGGTGGGATAGGGTGGGTCGGTGGGATATGATGATATTTTGCCCAGAACTGGGTCTCAAACTTTCCCTTTATTTTTGGCGGAAAAGAATTCTAAATTTCAGATTTGGTTTGGCTCTGAAAATTTCAGTTTCGGTTTGGCGCTTAGCCGCTTGATCTCTCTCCGAAGATAAAAGGCTCCCCATTTCTCATCATCACTCTCCACCATCAGCGATTTCGATCGCAGCGTTGTCCTGCACCTAACCGACCAACAACTTCTCCTCTTCCACCATGGCCAAGCCCCCCTCCGTCTCTCGACCTCACCGCCCGATCTAGATCTCCAACGAAATCCCTCTCAGCGAACCCACCAAAATTGCTCCCAGCAAACCCAGCGAAATCACTCCCATATTTCCAAACACTGCATAAATCATCTACATCAAGGCCACCTCGGCTCCTCTTCACTCTCCCTGCTCGACATGACGACCGTGCTACCCCTGCGTCTATCAATTCTCCTTTGAGCACCGTGAGAGAAGCGGATCTCGGTCGGTGATACTTTTCCAACTCGTTCTTGACTTTTAGGGTTCCGAGTTGCAATTGACCTTATTTCGAGGATCTATTTTGATAAACTGCAGCTACAACCTTTGGCTCTTATTACTTTCGTTTGATTTATTAGGAAAACCCTTTTATTGTTAGCCATTATCAGTTCCAGAGTTGGGCTGGATGTACTTTATTTGTGCAATCTTGCTTGATGTATGTCGTTCCTTGTACGGAGCAGCAGTTGAGATAATTAGATCTTGCCAAAGGCAAGTATTCCAGATATGGCTGCAATGGAGCAGAGTCGTATGCTGGCATACTAGCTCTAGATAGCAATCTCAAATTTCAAGATCATTGACAAAATGACTGCTAAAGGCTAGATCTTGAAATTGAATAGTCGTCAATTTTGTTTGGCTATAAAGCTTACTCGTGTGCCATTCTTCACTGATGATATCTAGAAATGATGGACATATCTTTCCATTTGATGTGTCCAAGTAATGGGTGTGTTCCCTTTTAGTTAGAAAGTTGGCGACGAGGATGTTCCAGTTCTAGGTTTCCTTGTGTTAATTATTATATGAAAATTCTTCTCTTTCTGTTATTATCATATATGTTGATGTTGGAGTATCCATATGCACTTTGGATGGGTAATTGGAACAATCTTAAATCATTCCTTTATATTGATTAGAGTCTGACATCAAGATATATTGAAGTCTCTGTTTTTGGTTTTTCGGCTGATGACGAGTGGGTAAATGAGTTCTCAAACATGCATGTCAATGACTAGGGGGAGAATTTGGACAACAATTGAAGGAGTATGATACGACTGATATTTGGATTTGGACAAATGCATATGACGAGTAATTACACTTTAAAGGGATCAATGAAGAGTGTTTTAAGCTCATAAACGTGATGTACTTCTAGACAATTATATATTCGTTACTGGTTTTTTTGGTGGGACTTATATATTCGTTATTGAGTATACTTTTAGTGAGATTTACAAGAAAAAATCTATGTATTTATTTAGTAGAAAAACTAATATTGAGAAGCAATTAAGTGATATGTTGTTGATTATTAATTTGCAACAAAAATCTTTTAATAGTCCAAGTTTTCAATATATTCCACATAATGTTCAAGTGAATGTAATGTTTTAATTTTTGTAATTTTATTAAAAATACATAATTTCAAGAAAATTTTAGATTTTGAACATCACTTAGTGAAATGAAGAAATGGGTTTGCCTTGTTTTAGAACCAAAAACATCATTTTGAAAGATTATATTATATAATATAGTAATTATTCGGGTCAATCGGGCGGGTTCGGGTTAGTTGGGTTCGGGCCAATCGGATTGCGGATTAGTCGGCTTTGGGTTCAATCGGGTTGCGGGTCAATCGGGTTGCGGGCCAGTCAGGTTTTGGGTTGCCAGATTGCGGGTCAATCGAGTTACGGGTCGGGCGGTTACGGGTCATTGACTTTTATGCAGTTCGGGTTGCGGGCGGGTTATGGGTCGGGTTAAACGGGCGGGTTACTCGGGTCGGGTTCTGTTTTGACACCTATAGTCGTAGCAACCCTAACTGACTCTGTCTTCCATCTCTTCCTTCCTTCCACCCGCGACGAAGAGGAGAGGGAGGGGTCTTCTGCGAGGTGTGGGTGGGGTCGCCGACCATGCCCAAATCAAGATAGCCCAGCCCAAATCAATTCTTTCCAAGCCCAAACCAGTCCAATACTCACAAATCTGCATTGCAGGGCCTTCAATGAAGCAAAAGCTCTAAAATATATTTAGAAATATATTAAATCAACAAACGAAACAGACAAATAAAGGGTTAATTACATGATTGGTCACTGAAATTACAAAATACGTTCATGTTTGGTCACTGTAAATATTTAAATCCAATTTTGGCACTCAAATTAGTTAAATGGTTCAAGTTTGGTCACTCTCCGTCCATTTCCGTTAATTCTAGCAACTTTCCTAGTTGACCGTTAAATATGTGATGTGGCAATTAAAAAATTATTAAAAATAAAAAGATAAACTTTTATATTTTTCACCTCATTATTACATTCATTGAAATAAAAAAATAAAAAAAATAAAAAATTAATTTATTTTCTTCACCAACCAACTGTACTTCTCAATTAATCGACCAGAGGGCTCGGGAGTTGCCAACTCTTCTACGTTCTCGATCGACACAACGGAAGGCATGACGGAGGCGACCGCCGAAGCAGAGTAATGGATCTTTCTTTTCTTCTGCATCCTTGAGTGGCACAGCAGCGGAGTTGGAGAAGAGAATTCCGTCGATGGCGATTGGCGCAGTGTCTCACTGGAATTCTCTCCACCAGGATCAAGTCGCTTGACGTTCGCACCGAAACCAAAACCAAGGTTCGACGAGCCGCCGCGAGGAATCACTAGGTCGAGGAATTCCTATTCTCCTCCCTAAGCGCCGCTGATAAATCAAGCAACGAACTGAGCCTAGACGTCAGCGACGGGCAGAGCAGAGGAAGAGCTGCAGAGCGAGGGTCGGTGAAGGCAGATGCTTCTTGTTCTCCTTCCTCAGCGCCGCTGAGAAATCCGGCACCGACTGAGCCAAGGCGGCAGTGACGGGGGAGCAGCAGAGCGAGGGTGATGGAATTAAAATTTTTCGTTGAACAAGGGCGATGGAATTTAGGGCGATGGTTTGGTCGAGCAGGAATAACGATAGAGACTCGACCCACACCGTCAGGTAACAGCCCAAAAGCTGCTCCAGAGATTCGCAATCGCGCAAGTCGCGAGCCTCTACCATCTCCGCCATCGATTGCCTGAAATCCTCCAACGGGTCCCGAGAGACCAGCGTCACCGCCACCGCGCCGCCGACGTCTCTGAACGGGTACAGCAGGTCGCCTTCTTCGGGCCTACTCTCTTGATTTTTTCCCCCTTGCTTCGGTGGCGATCTGCTGGTGGCGAGTGGGGACGCGACACTAGACATCGGGTTGTGCTGATTGAGATGAAGGAGTGAAGACAAGGCGACGGAATGAAGAATCACGGGCGGGGGAAAGGGTATTGGTACCGTCGCCGTCGCTAACTGCTCTAATTAAATGAAAGGTTGGAGGCTATAGGGCAGATGTTGTGGTGGCGACGTAGGGAAGGGTCATCGAGGGTGTGGGTTGGGTTGGGTTGGGTTCGGGTAAGGAGAGTAGAAGAAATTAGGTTTTATTTTTTATTTTTTTCATAATTGTGAAAATGAGGTGGAAATTTAAATGATTTTTTTTATTTCCACGTTACACATTTAACGGTCAATTTTTAGAGTTGACCGCCACATAAGCAAAAGTTAACGGAATTGGACGGAGAGTGACCAAATTTGAAATGTTTAACTAATTTTAGTGACCAACAATGGAATTAAATATTTGTAGTGACCAAACGTGAACGTTTTTAATAATTACAGTGACCAATGGATGGGCGTGAGGGCAGCAGCGGTGAAAAATGGACGGCCCGGAGTTCCTCCCCTCCACCACCCACAGACGATCAAACGAATGATTTCAAAGTTGAAACTAATCATTTTGCAAAGCGGTTTTATGGAAGGATCTTGGTAGTGAAAGTCCTCTAGTTTTTCCCCAGCCTTCCATCGTTGTTCTGCTATTTGACTCTTAAATTCTAACACATTAATGTTCTTTCTAATTTCATTGGACCTCCAGTTCATACTAGTACTTCTCCTTGTGCTCGCACCGCTTCTAGAAGATACCCAGAGGCATCACCGGCGTATGGACGGAATAGGAACATCATCCCATGTGGCGGTTGAGAAAAGTGACAGACTATGAATCCCTCAAAATCTCATGGTGATGTAACTTAATTTGGAAGCAACTCTTAACATCGATCACAGAATCATCTATGATTCTCTCAAACCTTTTACTATCTGCAACTACTGCAACTACTTCCCCTATATGGAGGATCACACTCCTTTCACCTTGAAAACAACTTTCCCCTATTTACAGAAGACACATTCTTCAAGCCTTCCCTCCAAAATGCATGGCTTTGTGCCACAACGTCATCTTGGATACTTGTGTTGCTACCAACTACTGCAAGCACTTCCATTATTTGGGGATTTGCGGTTACACATCGTCTTCATGCTTTCCCACCCTTTCTTCTTACCAGGGTTAGTTTGTGGAACCTTGCATATAATTATAAATATGATAGTAGCAGCCTCATTTTCCAATCATCACAGTGCTTTGACAATGGCTTCCATAACTCTCTATGTTCTTCTTCTTATCAACTTCCTCTCCATCCTCTGTTGTGCAACAGCACACACAGAGACAGAGCCTCATCCTCAACACAAAACATACATTGTCCAGCTAGACAGTGATCTCCAAAAACCATCACCTTTCCCGACTCATGAACTCTGGCACTTATCACTTGTGCAATCCTTAGCCGACCCCATAACCGACCAAGAGCTGTTCCTCTACAGCTACACCCATGTTCTGCATGGGTTTAGCTGTAGATTGACGGAAGCTCAGCTCTCCGAGATAGAGACGTGGCCAGCCCACGTTGCCACTTATCCGGTGACATACGGCGGGAAGCTTCTCACTACCCACACTACAGACTTCTTGGGGCTGCGACATGATTCGGGGCTGTGGCCGAATTCCTCCTACGGTGAAGGGGTCATCATAGGGTTTGTTGACACGGGGATCTGGCCATCAAGTGAGAGCTTCCACGATCGAGGCATGCCAGCTGTTCCCGAAAGGTGGAAGGGGCAATGCGAAGAGAATTACGACTTTAACTCCTCTTCGTACTGCAACCGAAAGCTGATCGGGTCTCGGTTCTTCCTAAAAGGTTCCCACAGTTCGGGAGGCATCTTGAAAGTAAGCCATGGGAGTCATGTATCGTCGACGGCTGCGGGCAACTTTGTCCTCGGCGTCAGTTATGCCGGTTATGCCAAAGGCACGGCCAGAGGAGTTGCTCCTCGTGCCCACATAGCAATGTACCAAGTGGACCCGGATTCAGATGCCCTTCCTGCGGAAGTGCTGGCGGCAATTGACAAAGCAATTGCAGACGGGGTTGACATCATCTCCTTGTCCATCGGCTTCGAGGGTTTATCTTATGATCAAGATCCGGTCGCAATCGGCGCCCTTTCTGCTGCCGAGAAGGGCATTTTCGTGGCTGCCGCCGCCGGCAACAAACCAGAAGCGTCCCATCTCATCAACGGACCGCCGTGGATCACAACAGTCGGAGCCGGGACCATGGATCGAGGTCTTACAGCCAGTATGACTCTGTCCAACGGAGTGGGAATCAAGGGATATTCATACTTTCCCCTAGACATCTCTACCGTCGAACTTCCCTTGTACTACCGAAAGGGGAAATCTGGATGTGAAGCTACCTCGCTGAACCGCTCACAAGTTGCAGGCAAGATGATACTCTGTGACAACTCCTTCAAGGAAGAAATCTCACTTGAGTTGGTTCCAGCTCTTAATCGATTGGGGGCTTTTGGAGCAGTCTTGATCACTGATCGGCCCGCCGATTTGTTAGAGCCAGAGGATTGTTCGATTCCCTTGATAGCTATATCTCAGAGCTCAGGGGATTCGGTACGGAAATTTGCAATCGACACCCCAGGAGCCAAAGTACAGAGTCTGCGCTTTCAGTCGACAGACATTGGGGTCAAACCAGCTCCCCAAGTGGCGGGCTTCTCCTGCAGAGGGCCGGACCAATTTCACCCGGGGATACTGAAACCGGACATTTTGGCTCCCGGCTTCCAAATCCTGGCGGCCTTCTCCCGCAAGCTGCCATACATGTCTCTCGGGGGATACAGTCTGATGACCAATTACGGCATTCTCTCCGGCACATCGATGGCGGCCCCACACATTGCTGGCGTTGCAGCTCTTCTGAAATCCGCCCACCCTGAATGGAGCCCAGCTGCAATTAGATCGGCCATGATGACGACGGCTTACGCGGTGGACAACACGGGCCAGAGTCTGACGGAGCAGTTCACGGGGATTCCAATGTCGCCGATCGATTTCGGAGCCGGACACATCGATCCAAACAGGGCCATGGATCCAGGGCTGATATACGATATCCAGGTCCAGGATTACATCGATTTCCTGTGCGGGCAGAACCTGACGAGAAAGCAAATCGACTTCATCTTGCAGGGGCGCGGGTGGCACTGCAGCAAGAGAATTGAGGTGGAAGAGCTCAACTATCCTTCTCTCACCGCCGTGTTCAAGTCCAAGAGCAGAGCCGTGGAGTTCAGCAGGACCCTGACCAACGTGGGGGGCGACGGGAGGTCGGTTTACAGAGTGTCGGTGGAGAATGCCCCGCCGGCGATGAGAATCGAGGTGGTGCCGGAGACTCTGGTGTTTCGTCACAGGAATGAGACCAACAAGTTCCATGTCCACCTGGAGGTTGAAGAAGGATCCCCCGCGGTGTTGTACTGTTTCCTGCGATGGAGTGATGGAGACGGCCATGTGGTTTCCAGCCCCATCGTTGCCCTCACTCTCGACGATCACGGCCAGTGAGAATTATCAGCTTAGCGTCTCGGGGGTATGGGTATTGTGAAGCGAAGCTGCGACTTTCGCTTAAATAAACTGTTCAGTCGTCGTTTGAGTCAGTTGGGGTCGTTTGGTTTGGTTTGGTTTGGTTACTACCAGACAAGTAGAAAGAATGTGTGGTTATTGTCTTTTATTTTTTTTTGGTAGAAAAAGTAATTTTTTTGGTAGAACGTGGTTATTGTCTTATTGAGTAGTAAGGAGAAGTTTGTGATGGTCAATAGCTTTACTGTATTTCAGGGCCGCTGAGTCAGTGGCTGGATGTAGTGGAATATTGCAGTGCTTTACTGTGGTCAAAATTATGCTGAAATTCAACGGAAAAAAATTGGGTTAATTGCAAGGTTGGTCACTGAAATTACTAAAAACGTCCATATTTGGTCACTAAAAATATTTAATTCCATTTGTGGTCACTAAAATTAGTTAAACATCTCAAGTTTGGTCACTCTCCGTCCAACTCCGTTAACTTTTGCTTACGTGGCAGTCAACTTTTATAGTTGACCGTTAAATGTGTGACGTGGCACTTAAAAATAATAAAATAAATAAAATTTATTTTTTAAATTTTCCACCTCATTTCTAACTACTATTTCTAACTATTAAAAAGATGCTTCCCATCCCAGAACTCCTTCAAGCTCGACCGTGCTAATGGTATTGATTCCCCACCCTGCCCCGCCGCCGACAATGACTCATTCTCCGCATTCACTGCCTTAAAGCTCCCCTCGCCACCATCATGGACTTCCCCAATCTTCCTCTTTCTAATCGCGCCGCAACAATCACTCAATTTCGGTGGGGGAATGAGTCAGAATTCCTACCGGCTTGGAGTGGGAAGTCGAGGATGGCCCTGCCGCCACGGAGGCGGAAGGCGGCGCTGCCGCATGCTTTGCCGGTTACTACATTGAATCCACCAAGACTTAACCCGCCGGTTACTACAGTTCCTCTGGAGGCTTTCTCTCTGTGGGTTTAGCTTGGAGTTTCAGCGATATAGGGCCAGCAGCAAGTGACCTCAACACCATCACCAATCTCCTTGTTTTCATATTGCCATCTTCACGTTCGAATTGGTTTTCCTCTAGTTCAATTGCAGGTATCACAATCGGTCGTGTTGGGGTTTTGGTGGTTTTGGCTCTAGGGATTTGGTTTTGGATAAAACTCAAGAAGAAACAAGGAGACGAAGAAGAGGATGGGGTTTGCTGAAGGTAGTGAAGATCTGGTGAAAATCGGTTGGAATCATAGGAAGCAAGATCTTCGGTTTGGTTTCTCTCTTTATAAATCGGGGAAGCGACTCGCCGGAGTGGTGGAATCGGAGAGGGGAAAGAGATCCGGAGTGGTGGAGTCGGAGAGGGGAAAGTCTGGTTGCATTATCGCTTACGCCCTTCGTCAAACCCCTCCGTAGTGCTTTTCTTCGTCCACATAATTGGTGAGATCGGTATGGAGTTGGATTCGGGTCGATCGGATATTTGGGGGAGGTGGGAGATTGGGGATGAAGATGTTGGACACGGGTAGCTTCCTCTAGCTTAAGGTACTGTATCATCTAGAAGAAGGAGAAGGAGCGTTGAAGGGGGTTTGGTATTGTTGGAAGTGGGAGATGAAGGAATTAATGGAAGAGAAGTAGGCTAGGAATGAGACCACCAAAGCATATGACAGCACCGCCTTCTCGTCTCCGTGGTGGCATAGCCATCCTCAACTTCCCACTCCAAGCCGGTAGGAATTCCGACTCATTCCCCCACCGAAATTTAGTGACTGTTGCGGCGGGATTAGAAAGAGGAAGATTGGGGAAGTCCCTGATGGTGGCGAGAGGAGCTTGAAGGCGGATAATGAGTTGTCGCCGGCAGCGGGGCAGGGTGGGGAACCGGTGCCATTAACACCGTCGAGATGGAAGGAGTTCTGGGACAGAGAAGCATATTTTTAATAGTTAGAAATAATAGTTAGATATGAGGTGAAAAATTTTAAAATTAAATTTTATTTATTTTATTATTTTTTAAGTGACACGTCACATATTTAACGGTCAACTATAAAAGTTGACTGCCACGTAAGCAAAAATTAACGGAGTTGGACGGAGAGTGACCAAACTTGAGATGTTTAACTAATTTTAGTGACCACAAATGGAATTAAATATTTTTAGTGACTAAATATGAACGTTTTTAGTAATCTCAGTGACCAACCTTGCAATTAACCAGAAAAAAATTATGATGAAATATCACTTATGTTATATTTTGGTAGCTCTGTATCTGTTTTTTTTTTTTTTTTTTGTCAATTTCGCTAACGATGAGAATGAAAAATAATTTATTCGGTCAACTAAACATGTCGTGTCACTAACTCATTAAAAAGAAACATAGCTCAATGCATTTAGATGGCAAAAGAGCAGGCCCAAAAGCAATAGATACACAATTACAAACCAATCACATATAAGACAATTCAAACTCAAGGCCCAAATAAATAGCCTGTCACACGGAAGTTTCGCTCCCCTCGGTTTCTATCTAGCAATGAAATGGGCCTCTCACTAGCATGGGCTTTGAGATTTCATAAGGTGGGAGTAGCGGATTCGAAAACTGCATTTCTTCTTCGCCAGTCGGTAGATATCAAATTTCATGTGTTCGGTGCCTTAGGGACAAGATACAGTAACAACACACACCCTTATTGTTGTTATAATAACAACGGATGACATTAAGGGTAAAAAGGTAAAATACAACAAAATAATAAATTAAATGAAAATCCAAAATAATCCTCCAGACTCGAGCGAGCCCCTATCCCTATCCCCATCCTCATCCCTTGCTCTCTTCTTAATCCATTCCCGTGCGCCACCGCCGGCGATTTCTTCTCCTTTCAACCAGTAATCATCATCTATTTACTCTTCTTGAATCCGCTTCCGTTCATTGCCGTCGGCGATTTTTTGTCTTCAACCTGTCATTTTCACCATCTACCGAAAGGGTCAGAAGACCTATAATTAACATCCAGACCCCAGCGGAAATTAGAGGAATCATCGCCTTTCCGATAGTTACTGATAATAGGATCTGAAAGTCGCCGCCACGAAAGTCGAGTTCCTCCACGAAACCCTCACGGGGGCCCTTAGGGACGGTCACAGTCGTCAATTTGGGTTGACGCATTTACCTGCTAGACGCAATGCGACAATTGCTATTTCTTCTTCTTCTTGGACTACTTGTGATCCGCTGCAATTACAGCGGCGAGGGAAGGGAAATCAGTTGTCGGTTGTGGGCGGTGTTTCCGTTAATTGTCATCTGAAGGTAATTTGGTGATAAAGGAAGGATTGCATGCAAATCAGTTATAGCTAACCCTCTCTAGCTTCGTTTCAAAGGAAAGCATGATGAATTCCCATCTCCAGAACGATCCAATTCCTTAAGACCCCAATCAGAACCCAAGGCACATAAGTCCCACACTTCATCTACTTCCTCATAATTCTCCTGCAATTCTCATAAACACGAGCTCAAATGGCCACATATGCTAGTCTAGATATCCTAATTAGAAACTACAGTACTCTCAGTGGCAGCTTGAACATGACCAGAACATGGGAAAGTCAGAGTCTTCACCTATTGTCGTATTTCTCATATAATAGTCGACAAATATCTTTAAATTTTTTTATAAAACAAACAAAAATAAAACTCTTAGACGTGAGCCACAAATTTCAAAGCATACCACAAATATCTTAAAACAAACCAGAAACGGGAGAAAACATACCACAAATATCACGAAGTATACTAGAAACACCACAGAGTATACCACAAAATTTATTAACGCACACCAAAATTCTCATAATGCACTCCACAAATATCTTGAAGCAAACAAGAAATACCACAAATATTTCTAAAACACACCAAAAATCTTCTAATGCACACCACAAATCTCATGAAGCAAACCAGAAATAACACAAAGCATACCACGGTTATTTCTTATAACAAACCATAAACAAGAGAAAACATAGCACAAATATCCTGAAGCATATCTGATCACCATAGAGTATACCAAAAAATTTTATAACGCATACGAAAAACCTCTTAATGCAACCCAGTACCCACTAATCTCTTGAAGCATATCAGAAACACCACGTACAAAACATACCACAAAAATTTCTAAAGCACACCAGAAACCTCCTAATGCACACCACAAATCTCATGAAACACACCAGAAACACTGCAAAGCATACCACAATAATTTCTAAACCACACCAGAAGCCTCATAATGCATAACAAACATCTTCTGAAGCATACCAGAAATACCATAATGCATATCACAAATATTTCTAAAGCACACAAAAAAACTCCTAATACAAACCAAAAACACGACAAAGAAAGCTACAGATTGCATAAATCTCATAAAGCAACCCAAAAACCTCCTAATATTTGATGTGCTTTAAAATATATGTGATATGCTTTGCGGCGTTTATGGTATGTTTTTGGAGATTTATGGTTAGCATTAGGAGGGTTCTAGAGTGCTTTAGAATTTTTGTGGTATGTTTTGTGATATTTTGGTTTGTTTCAGAAGATTTGTGGTATGCATTCATTAGGAGGTTTGTTGTGTACTCTAGATTTTTGTTATTGTTTATGAGATTAGTAGTGTGTTTTGTGAAATGAGTTGTGTTTAGATTTGTGGTGTTTTTGTGTGGTTTTGATATGCTTTACAATATTTCTAGTTTTTTTAAATGCGCATGTATTCGAGTATGTTTTATGAGATTTATGGTTTGCTTTCTCTTGTTTTTAGTCAATTTATGAGATTTGTAGTTTGGTTTCTTGTGTTTAAATTCAATTTATGAGATTTGTGGTGTTCTTTATGATATATGTGGTGTGGGTAAAGAGATTTGTGGTTTGCTATATGAGATTTGTGATGTGTTCTCTCGCGATTCTGATATACTTTACGAGATTTATAATTTCCTTTCACGTGTTTTAGTCACCTTTATAAATAAAAAAAAACAATAATATATACTAGAAACATAAAATATATATCAAAACAACCACAATTAATAC